GGTCTGCATGCACCCACCATTCGGCGGCTTGCAGTGCTGCACGCTCGCCTGTGGTAAGGAAAGGCCATAGGGCTTCGGCGGCTGCGGGCCTGAGGAAAAACGTGCTGCCCCACACCGGCTATGGCAAAAATGATGGGGATGCCGGTGGCGTGTCATCAGGCACGCTGTGGTGCATGCACCAAGCGACACTTTGCAGGCGTGCAGGCTAGGTGCATCCAAGCATGCACAAAGTGGGGCATGCACGAAATGGATGCAATATGCAAAGGAAGCTGTGGCCGGTTCCATGGCGAGGCGCAAGTCTTCTCAAAAAAGTGAGGGAAAACCCTCACGCATGACCCTTAGGTGGCTTGAAGCAGAAAGCGGCAACGCGTCCGAAAATTCGATCAAGATTAAAAACATAAGGGAAAAGAAAACCGTAAACGACCCCGGAATCGGCGTTTAGAATCCGAATGCTTCGCTGTTTGTGGAAAAACAGTAGCCAAAAAAAAATGGAAAAAAAAATAATAAAAAAAAAAAAGGGAACAAATCCGGCGGTCGGTCTCGCACGTCCTGTCAAAATATTGGGCAGACGTTCGACGCTGCAGAAGCCGCAAAGCGCACACACGGCTGGGCCCGGGAGACTTCACCATCGTCGCTCCCAAGCGACGGCGGCTGTCCGCCGGAGCGAGGACGGCGCACGTCTCGCTCGGACCCAGACGAGGTCAGCGACAAGCTTGGCGTCGCGGCCCCTCCATCCTCGGTAGCGAAAACGCAACGCCCCTTCCCGGGCGCCGCAGCTCCGGGTACTCGCGCCTGCACCCGGAACGCGCAGCACTTTCGCAGGGGGGCTGGGGGGGGGGCGGCAGCCCCCCCCATGATGCTCGAAGATGCGATGATTCAGCAAGGTGTGCGTTAACCTGTCAACATTTTACAAACCATGATGTTCGATGATGCTTCAACAAAGGGGGGCGATGCTCGAAGAATGCTCGAAGAAGCGATGTTTCAACAAAGGGGGGCGATGATGAAGAAGTGATGATTCAGGGGGGTTAGGGGGGGCGGCAGCCCTTCCCATGATGTTCGAAGAAGTGCTGAGTCAACAAAGGGCGCGTTAAGCTCTGTAAGCTTTTTAAAATCAGCAGCGGGGTTGCGGAGGGCGGCAGGCCCCCCCATGATGTTCGAAGAAGTGATGATTCAACAAAGGGTGATGATGATCGAAGAAGTAATGATTCAGCAAAAGGTGCGTTAAGCTCTGTAAGCTTTTTATAAATCAGCAGCGGGGTTGCGGAGGGCGGCAGGCCCCCCCATGATGTTCGAAGAAGTGATGATTCAACAAAGGGTGATGATGATCGAAGAAGCCATGATTCAGCAAAGAGGGCGTTAATCACTGTAAACATTCTACAAATCAGGGGGGTGGTTGGGGGGGGGCTCCCTTCCTTTCCTTCCCTTCCCTTCCCTTCCCTTCCCTTCCCTTCCCTTCCCTTCCCTTCCCTTCCCTTCCCTTCCCTTCCCTTCCCTTCCCTTCCCTTCCCTTCCTTCCTTCCTTCCTTCCTGCCTTCCTTCCTTCCTGCCTTCCTTCCTTCCTTCCTTCCTTCCTTCCTTCCTTCCCCCCATAGGAATGAGAAGAAGTCTCTTTTGATCCCTAATAAGTTGTTTATTGATCCCTAATAAGTTTTTTGATGCCTAATAAGTTGTTTGATGCCTATCCCTACACAGTGTCCCATGGATGGCGAGCCACCCCATACGCTGCAGCGGCGGGCGTCGAGTCCACGTCGACACACTCAAGTCCGGGCAAGGGCCATTGAGGTCCGTTGAAGCTCAAGTGCGGAAAGGGCGCATGCATCCCGTGCCGCTTGGTCGTCCTCGTGCTGGAGGCCGGCGGGCGTTGGAGTGAGGAAGAGGCTGCGACTGCGCCGTCACGCCCAATCTCTCGTTTGCCGAGTCCTTGCTTGAAGGGCTGGTCAGCGCTGGCAGCACGGCGGGGTTGGCCATGCAAAGACGCCTCATTCGAGGTGACCTCGAGCCGCCGATCATTGACGTGGTCAACAAGAAGGTCGGTGTTTTGAAGTTACCCGGACCCCGGCTTCACGGCACACCCGGGAGGCAGCCCGTTCGAGGGGGCACCCGCGACTCCGCAACACGCCTGCCAGAGAAAAGGATTGGCCTTGGGGAAAACGCCCAGGAAGTCCAGGGGCCGGTCACGCCACTCCAGGGCGGGTGCTTGGACAAGGGGCACATCGCCGCTCGGGCCGGACTCCAAAAAAACGTGAAGCACGGCTTCTTGAGCACTGGCAGGGATGTACCCACTGCCCACTTGGACGTGCTGCACAGCCCACGTGGCTCGCAACCTCTGCGCCGCAACCCCACCAGCGGCGGCCAGGCGCGCGCAAGCCGGCCTGGCCAGTCGGACAGCGCTCCCGAGGCCAGCGCGACTCTATCATGGGCCGGCCGTGTCGAGCAGGCTGACGAGCGTGGCGTCGCGACACAAGCCCGCGCCGCAGTCATACGTCACCCGGTCCAGGCAGCGCCGGTCCTGCGAGGCGACTCCCGACGCAGTGTTGAGGCAGGCAGCGCATCCTGCGCAATGAACTCAAAGTATGACAACGGCCTGGAGTGCCGGCCTGGAACCAGGCCGAGCTGGCTGACCGGAGGGAGCGCGCAGAAGAGCGGCCACTGGTCGGGGCCTCAGGCACTGCGCAAATGTGGGGGCCATGCGCACAACGATGACGATGATGGGCAGACTATAATCGTAGCGCGCCTTCACCAAACCAAAACGGAATGAGGAATTAAACATGAGAGTACAAATTTATCTTTGCACCAAAGCAGCCCTCCGGCAGATCCACAAAGCCTGTGTGCAAGCATCCGAACCTCTCGTGCTGCTGTTCTCCAATGCCGCAGTCGAGCTCGGTGCAGCTCAGCCAAAGAGTCCCAGGCTTAGAAGATTTTGTTGCTCGATCCGGCGCAAACCTGTCCCTAGCCATTTTGGCTCAAGCAATTTTGGCTCAATGCTCCTTGCTCTTTGTGTTGCTGGCGAGTCCAGCGCCTGCTACTGTCCTGGCTGCCGCCACGTCTGCCGTCGTCGTGCTCCCCCAGGTTGGGGCCATATTCAATGGCAGCCGTATAAGAAGCTGGCGGCGCAATCACGACAGCAACGGGAATCAAACTGGGCATCAAATCGATAGAAACTGTTTAGTGTGGACAACTGGAAGCGCGTGGCAAACCACAAGCAAACGTTTTAACGCATTGAACTGTCAACCTTCTGCATCGCAATATCCCAATTTCATCGGAGCGCAAATCCGCGAGATGCATCGTGCTAAAGTATGGTTTGGGGATTGATTGGTGTGCCAGACTACAGTCTCGAAGCTCTTGGTGGAAAGGTCGCGAAAAAGTTGTTGACACCTTCGGGCACAGCCTGTTTGCAGGTGCTTGATTTGCTTCTTTTGACACCATTGTTCAGCAGTCAGACCTCGTGCTTACATGCTCAAAGTGTTGGGATCTCCCAAGCGTGTCCTTTGTCGCCGTGTCTCTTCTCTAGTGTCATGACCGTTCTTGTATCGGTTGCGGACGAAGCTCTGCAAAGGCACCCAGCAAATGGAAACATGCTGGGCGGGCGCCGCAGCCCCAGGAGCGTCAGCCAGGCTGTCTGGCAACCGAACCACAACAACCACAACAACCACTACCAAGGCGACAAGCCGGACAAAGGAATGCCAGCAGCAAAGCGACCCACAGACAAGGGTGGATCTGGGCGCAGGCAGGGAAGCGGCCAGGCAGGGAGCGCAATGCCTAGTGGGCCACAGCTGCCTTCCTGGCCATTGCCAGCTCCGCTCCCAACCCCTTTGGTTTGGGCCCTCTTCCAGCCATTGGCAGCAGATTCCACCAAGATGGGTATCTTTAAAGGAGGTTTGGGTGTGTCTTGATTTTGGGGGACCCACAGAATTGCGGCTGTCAATGCTGTTGGCCTCGGCGTTGAACATATGTCAAGTAAGTCTGCTGCAGCAATAGCGAGCGTGAAGGCGCCACGGGGGGCTCTACGCGCACTCCTCTTTCGGCGACTGCGTCGATGCGAGCCCGCATCGGGGCTGCTCCCGCCCCCCCCCCCCCCCGCCACAATTAAAACTCCAAGCGGCAAGACGGCAACCCCAGGCCATGCAACGCCAACCCCAGACAAAAAATTACGAGTTGGACTCTGAAATTAGCCGGTACCTGTGTTGGCGAGGGGTGTGTGACGCCACCACCCAAACGAAAGTGCACCCAACATTGACATGGCTGGCTTGCATCTTGGATCTCCTCAAGCCCGGCTTGGTTGGCTATGCATTGTTAACATTGGGCTGGCATTTGGCCAACCGCAGGTTGGCTCAATGCTGCGCCGACGGCTGCGTTGGAGCTTGTTTCTGCGATGTCTCAGGCTACTGAGCTGTTTGAGGTCAGGTTGGCTTCAGTTTGGTTGGATGAGTGTTGGTTGAAAGCTGGTTTGGTACCATAACCAAGCTTGGTCTTACGCCGTGAGCTTATGCTTTCAACATGGGGTTGCTTCAGAGAACAATTTGAGATGCGTGCAGGTTCATGCTGCCCATGCGGTGGTAAGGATTGCGGCTGGCGGCTTTGTGCTTGAGTTGAGCTTTTCGCTGGCTTGTGCTCATGCCGTGTCGAGTGTCAGAGAAGAACCAGTCCAAAACCCAAAATGCCAAAGCCAAAAAGCAAGGAATATGCTTGGCCAAAAGGCGGCCCCACCACTGCGCCAGAGAGTCACAGGATTCCAACTTTAAACGTGGAGCGGAGCTCGGAACCTGCGAGCGACGCACTGAGCTCCGCAGCTTGCGTTTTGCCGTGCAAAGGGCACCGCGATCGAAACGACGGGCGTTCTGAGGTGGCGCATGGCCTTGGTTTGCACAGGAGCACACAAAGCTGCTGTCTGCCAAAGAGGCCGAGGAGAGTGATGCGAAGAAGCGCGCAAAAAGATCTGGCCGTTGAAAGATCAGGTCTACAACTTCAAGGAGGATGACACGTCAAAGTCTGCTCCTTTTACCTCTCCTGGCACGCGCAGCTCTAAGAGGTCTCATACCTCACATCTAGACATCGAAGCTTCTGCACTCGTTCCCAGCGGCATCGATGTGTGGCATAGATCACAAGGCATGGCACCAATGGTAAGGCGGCGCATACCCTTTCCTCTTTCCACACCTCTGGAAAACTGTCTGAATGATGTGTGTTCTCAGCCCACGGAACGGCCATTTGCCACTGCCCGTCCAAAGCCACACTGCTTGCCACCCTCAGCCGATGATGATACCGGCTTCCGCCAAGTCCTGTGCAGGCACCAATTCAAGGGAAATCAGTACGGGCACGCCAAGGTACGCCCCTCATGTGCCCTTGATATGCTTGATGCCCCAAGTACATATATGTAAACATATATATATATACATATCTACACATGGGAATGCATAGATGGAGCTGTATATATATATACATATATATATATAATATACACATATACATACACAAACATACATACATACATTACATTACATTGCATTGCATTGCATTGCATTGCATTACACTACACGACACTACACTACACTACACTACATTACATACATACATTACATACATTACATACATACATTACATACATACATTACATACATACATTACATACATACCTACCTACCTACCTACCTACATACATATATATATACATACATAACATCAATTACATACATAAATACATACATTACATTACATTACATTACATACATTACATACATACATACATTACATTACATTACATTACATTACATTGCATTGCATTGCATTGCATTACACTACACGACACTACTCTACACTATATTACATTACATTACATTACATTGCATTACATTACACTACATACATACATTACATACATACATTACATACATACATTACATACATACATACCAACCTACATACATACATGTATACATACATACATTACATACATACATACATACATTACATTACATTACATTACATTACATGCATTACATACATACATACATGCATTGCATTGCATTGCATTGCATTGCATTGCATTGCATTGCATTGCATTGTATTGCATTACATTACAGTACATTACATTACATTGCATTGCATTGCATTACATACATACATGCATTGCATTGCATTGCATTGCATTGCATTGCATTGTATTGCATTACATTACAGTACATTACATTACATTGCATTACATACATGCATACATACATGCATGCATCATACATACATACATACATCACATACGTACGTACGTACATACATACATACATACATTACATACATTACATACATTACATACATTACATACATTACATACATTACATACATTACATACATTACATACATTACATACATTACATACATACATACATACATACATACATACATACATACATACATACATACATACATTACATACATACATACATACATACATACATACATACATACATACATACATACATACATACATACATACATACATACATACATACATACATACATACATACATACATACATACATACATACATACATACATACATACATACATACATACATACATACATACATACACATTACATTACATTACATTACACATACATACATACATACATACATACATACATACATACATACATACATACATACATTACACATACATACATACATACATACATACATACATACATACATACATACATACATACATACATACATACATACATACATACATACATACATACATACATACATACATACATACATACATACATACATACATACATACATACATACATACATACATACATACATACATACATACATACATACATACATACATACATACATACATACATACATACATACATACATACATACATACATACATACATACATACATACATACATACATACATACATACATACATACATACATACATACATACATACATACATACATACATACATACATACATACATACATACATACATACATACATACATACATACATACATACATACATACATACATACATACATTACATTACATACATACATACATACATACATACATACATACATACATACATACATACATACATACATACATACATACATACATACATACATACATACATACATACATACATACATACATACATACATACATACATACATACATACATTACATTACATACATACATACATACATACATACATACATACATACATACATACATACATACATACATACATACATACATTACATACATTACATACATACATACATACATACATACATACATACATACATACATACATACATACATTACATACATGCATACATACATACATACATACATAAATACATACCTGCATACATACATACATACATAAATACCAGACCATACCATATTATACCATACCGTACCATACCGTACCGTACCGTACCATATCATATCATATCATACCATGCATACATTACATACATTACATTACACTGCATTACTTACATTACATTGCATTGCATCACATTACATTAATTACATTACATTACATGATAATACATTAAATATATTACATTAGATTAGATTAGATTACATTACATTCCGTTACGTTCCGTTACGTTACATTACTTTGCGTTACATTACATTACATTACATACATACAAACATACATACATGCATCATTACATTACATTATACTACACTACACTACACTACATTACATTATTGTACATGTACATTACATGTGCAGTACATTTACATTCCATTTACAATACATCACATTAAATGACATTACATTACATTACATTACATCACATTACATTACAATACAGTACATTACATTACATACATACACAAATAAGCAAACTAGATAGATTAAATATATTAGATAGATTTGGTAGATTAGACAGACTAGATAAGCGAGTTGAATAAATCGATAGGTCGGTTAGATGGAATAGATGGGATAGATGGGATAGATAGGATAGATATAGATGGGATAGATGGGATAGATGGGATAGATGGGATAGATGGGATAGATGGGATAGATGGGATAGATGGGATAGATGGGATAGATGGGATAGATGGGATAGATGGGATAGATGGGATAGATGGGATAGATGGGATTGATAAGATAGATAGATTAGATTAGATTAGATAAGATAGATTAGATTAGATTAGATTAGGTTAGATTAGATTAGAAGAGATTGCATTAGATAGATACATAGATGGATAGATGGGATGGGATAGGAAAGGAAAGGAAAGAAAAGAAAAGGATAGGAAAGGATAGAAAAGGATAGGAAAGGATAGAAAGGGTAGGAAAGGATAGGAAAGGATAGGAAAGGTTAGGAAAGGTTAGGAAAGAACAGGAAATGGTAGGAAAGGATAGGAGAGGAGGATGTATGGCTAGAGAAGAAAATATAGAATACGATAATGATAAGATCTCAACTAGAGTAGGTAAGGGAAGACAAGACAAGGTAAGATATGCTAAGATGAAACAAATACTGTCAATGGATGAATATGATATACACCCCTTATGGACTTGTGTTTTGCTGATTTGTTTGATGTTCCAGGTGGCAGATTTCGCAGTTGGCTGACACAACGAGGCAAGATGTGCATATACTTTGTCCAGCCAAAGCGCAACAAAGTATTCAAGTGGCTGTCCTCTGGATCGGAAACTGAAGACTGGCTTCAAAGAAAAATGTTCCAGCAGAGATTCTTCCATCCTGGCCAGCCCCCAAAGCCTTCAAAAACGTTACGCTGATTGAAATTCGCTAAGCTTTTCCTCTGGATCGAAGATGCAAGATTAATTCCGCAGAAGTCTGTTCAGAGATTATTCCATCTTCAACTGGGTATTTCGGGCTGGGACAGGTTGGGTTCGGGGGTGCTTTCGGGTTGGTTCAGTGCTGGCCTTGGGCTGATGCAGGGTTGGCTTAGGGCTGGTCCAGTAGAGCTTAGGGTTGGTTTAGTTGGTTTGGGGTTGGTTTTGAGGTTTGTTGAGGGGGGTTGGTCTTTTTCGGGTTGGTATAGTTCTGAGTTGGTTTAGGTGAGTTCAGGCTGCGCTTCGGGTTGCTTTGTCCTGGGTGCGGGGATGTTGGGGTGCGGGCGGGGGCTGCAGGTGGCTGCAATGGGATATCAGGGGGTGTGGGATCGAGGCCGTCGGAACACAGGACCATATAAATATATACATATATATATATATAGAGAGATAGGGGTCCACAGCTAGAACAGAGTATGGTTGGGGACGGGTCCGCAGAGTCACGTACTGCAGCAGCTGCGTTTTATGCTTGAAGTACAGTAAGAGACCCGCAGAAGCATGCTCAGCGAAAGAAGCGGATTGTCGCAATTGGCCACAGGAGGACAGTACTGATCCAGGTTGATAACCAGGGTGGCAAGCCATCTCAAGGACTCAAGTCAACATGAGTCCAAAACAAGGTGACCCCAGAACGGCTGCTTTCCACTCGGTTTCCCGGAAGGATCTCCGTTGCCGAGATCTCCACACCTCCCCCCCATCCTCGGGGGCCATCTCGATCTCTGCCGCGACGCCGGGCTCCGCCTGGCCATGTTTTCAGACTCTCAAGTTCCCCAGCCAGGAGGATCTGAGACGCTTTGCGGGAATCGCGAAGCTAGCACATGCTGCTTGCGTTCTGGCTGTGCAAAAGCTTGATGGGTGTCGGAGAGGTCCAGGACGGAGTTGAGAGGGAAGTGAACTTCGCGGACAAACGTCTTGTTCAGGGGATGGATGGACGCCCAGGCGACCAAAGAGTCCAAGACCAGCCGACTGTTTGTGGTAAACCAGCTCTCCTCTCTCTTCCACTGTAGATACGTCTACGCACCCGTATGTTCTATGGGAGCAGACAGGCCTCGCAAGGATAATGTGTCTCCAAATGCGGGTACCCCATGAAATGGATGGCTTCACTTTGGTTTCCCTTCAAACCCATAACAAGACACCCTAAGGAGGCCCATCCATGTTGCGAGCGTTGCAAGCTAAGCGAGTTCACTCCACAATTGGCGGCTCTGCTGGCCTCCGCCAACAAATCCGGGATCTCAGCATCGAACTTGCCGAAAGAGCCGTCCGGCTTGACATCCTTCGCACTCAACTGGACATGCCTCGTTCCCAGCAGTGGAGCTGACATAGTGCAATCTTATAATTGGATGCCAACATCTTGAGTGGAGAACTCTCACCGGGGTTGGCCTCAAAATCGAAAGCTACACCAAATGGTGTGTTTTGCTGTACTTTTTCTCTTGAACAACCGCCCAAAGGGGATCCTAGGTTTGAGACATTCCCAACAGGCATGCATCCGCAAACATCTGCAGAGTCGCACCGCTCCTGTCGCTGATAGATCTGGATGTAGCTCTCAGTGAGAGCCACCATCTGCGGCAGTACCGGCGTGACCTTAGAACCCACAACTCCTGCAAGTGGCTACAAACCGATGATATGATGTTTTCTGAGCCAACCAAGGCATCTTGCAGACTCCAAGCACAAGCCATCTTGGCTGACTTTGAAGGATTGAAAGCTCTAAAAATTTGGGCCCTTGGCTCGCAGGTCGTGGATCTCGAACCACTGGGAGGTCGGTTGATGAAAGACCTGTGCAAGGTCCCGCGAGGCAAACGATGATTTTGAGACCTGCACCTTGCCATGCCTCTTGGACCCCTTCGGTGCCCCGTGAATTGCCCTCACTTTTGACCATGGATACCCTCCTTTTGTGCTGGGTCCGGTTGAGTGCACCGAAAGCCAAAGGCCTCAACAGCCAACGCCTGTCCGGCTGCGGGATCCGTGTTGAGACGTCAACGGACCAAAACTCGTCTCGCGCCTGCACCTTGTAGGTTCCTCTCTCAGGCTTTCCGTCGTGGCAAACGTTGGCCACCAAGTCCTAAATCCAGTGAACAAATCAAAGAATCAAGAGTCCTCAATAGTCACGTCGTTTGCTTGCCCCAAATCGGCGATTGTGGCATTCATGACGAGGCGATAAGCGCAGAGGGTGCTCTTCCGTTTGCAAGTCTTTCTGAATGGTCAAACACCAGCGCGCAAGAATGTTGAAGCCATCCAAACCACTTCCACCCCATGGGTGTCAGAGATTAGCTGCCTCTGGCCTCTTACACCTCATCTTTTGCCGGGCAACGAAAACTGGCAAGCTTAGACTCCGGTCCATCTTTCATAAACCCCATTGAAGGTCATTCTGGGGCCCCTCTGGGCGCCCCACATACTTGGTCTCCGGATTCGCCGGCTGGCAATCCGGATGGATGTAATCCCGGAGGTCCAGGCCTGGCTTGTGGCAGGTTGCTCCAATGTCGCAGCAGGTTTTGCCGAGGTTTCCTTTGGCAGTCGTAATCACCTTGCCCTGCCAAAAAAGTATAATTCCCCGGCAAAAGTTCCCCTCCCTGGCCTTTCAATGGGAAGGTGACGATGGTGGGGTTCTTCTCCACAAAGAAGTTGTTGTTTCTGAAGCGCTTCACCACGCAGCACACATAGGGCGGCAGCCGCCGCAAGCTATACCTGCCAAGAGAAACAAATACAAACAGGCAGCCACCAACCAGCGAAACAAGCTCCGCGAAGGATTCAACAGCTTGTGGTTCCTTCAAAATGACAAGTGTCGTCTTCTGTGGCCTAATCCCGAGCTTGACTCAACCACATCTCTAAGTCTCATAAGTTAAAAGGAGAGGCCTCTCGACCTCCCATATGCAAAACCGCCCAGAAGTACGGAGCTTTGTCGTTGGCTTCGAAAGGCCAAACCGAGCATCTGCACGGCTTCGTGTGTCAGGTTGACGCTTGACGCATTTGACTTTGTAAGGTCCACCACTCAGCAACCGTGCTGGAAAGTGCACGTGCCGTGCCTTTGCATTGCCGCCCTCATCGAAAAACAAAGCCATACAACGGTACCAGTACCGGCTTGACATAAGAATGTGTCAAATGGTTGGTTTCAGGTCGGCGTCCGTGGACCAAAACGAGGTCTCCAGTTTTGACACAAACGGCAACAGCTCTTTCTTCAGCATTTAGCCCCATCCTTTGAAGTGATCCCCTGTGTCAAATGCAGTCCTTGCAGCATGGAAACGGAGGCTAGATAAGGAACCGGTTCCACTCGGGCGTACACTCCATTTGAGACAGCGCAACCAACGCTTCCAGGCCTTCGGATCTCGCGAGACTCACCGCCTTTGGCAATCTTCTCGAAGGGCTTCTCCCCGTTGAACTTCTCGAGCAGGTTGAACAAAGGCACCTGACCCATGCCAACCTCAAATCTCATGCACCTGAGGAATTCCTTGAGGGACTGCGTGGAGTCTGATGTAGCCAAGGACGCTGCATAAATATCCAACATCATCAATTCGTAACATAGCGTTGCACGTGGGGGCAAGTTCCTTGACCAAGGAGGGTGTGGAAGTCCATTCATTGAAGTTTGATATGGCCAAGCCAACAGTGCGGATCTTCCAAAAAAAGTGGCGCTCGCCCCAGCTGCTTGCCAGTGTGTGGCCTGGGGGATGAAATCCAAGTTATCTTTGAAGAGTGGCTCATCTGGCAGCTCCTGCCGCGCAACAAAGCCGGGCCAACATCAAGCATCGCATGCTCAGCCTCGCCCGGCATCCACCATCCACGAGTTTACGCATGTTGGTGTGATGCGTCAACCGACGAATGAGACAGACTCGGGTCACTACACAAACCCCCGAACCAAAAAGACTCTTTGGGCACGTCGCTGTGGATGAATGGAACCAAACTATTTCGACCCTACTTCCTGATCACGTGGTCAAGCTATGTAATGCATTGGTACTGCCTTTGTTGGGAAGATCCTCGACGCGTCATGATCGTCAACGAGCAATCACCACACCAGCCACAACCTGTCAAGCCGACAAACACCCGACATGCCCGCTGTCCAGCGTCATGAAGATGGTCTTCTCCTTGGACTCTGTGATCCGGGACTCTTCATGAGCCGGGCACAGCTTCACCTGACAACTTGGACGGATGTCTGGACCTCACTATGCCCTTGTGGCTTGCATCCTGGCCCACCCAGTTGTTTGGGCACAACCCTTCTTGGTGGGGCATCAAAAGCCATATCCTGGACGGGACGGACTTGCACAATTACCAAGCAACTGTACCTCGCTGCTTCTCTCTTCAAAGGGATGCAGGATTGGGCGAACGGTGGCGTTCGCGAATCAAGCCACCAAATCTGCCTCCTGAGCCGCGCAATTCCTCGCTTTGCGTGACCAGGTGGAAGTACTTTCTCAAGTCAGAAAACCGTGGCGAGAAGACGCACATTAAATGTGAAGACTGCAGAGAAGGATGATGCAGGCAAAACTCCAGGAATCTGCTGACCCCCGCAAAAGATATTGACAAACCCTTCGCAGCTTCCCCGAACCCCTGGCGGTCCCCCGCCCACCGCCCGCACTTGACCCCCGGTGTCTGCCTGCACTTCGCCCTGGAAAACGTCGTGAATCAGGGAATCCCCCTTCTTGTCCTTGGTCTTCTTGTGGAGGTACCCCATGAGCCTCGGCCAACAGTCCTGCTCTCTGACCCATCTTTTGCCGATACATGTGCTGCTTCATCATGTGAGGTCCAGGGCGCTTGAATGGGTGGTTTGCTGCTCTTACCTCTCCTTTGTCTACTTGCTTATGCTTATTCTGCGCTTTCTTGTGCTCTCTTGTGCTTGCTTGTGCTTGCTTGTACTTGCTTGTACTTGCTTGTGCTCCTTTACAACGCAAACATGGATGCATGGAGTGGCGCTGAGAAGCAGGACAGGAGGGTCAAGCCTCAACTTCATGATGTTCAGCCTTCCTTGTTGGAGGCCCTATTCCTTCCCTTCATGCCCTAGCTTGCCCTAAGTCCTGCCCTCCGTTACATATAAGTTACCCCAATCCAAGCTCGGAAATCAAAGTGCCAAATACCCCGTCGGCAAAGTATCTGGCACGGCTTCAAGCTCCCCGCACTCCTGCCAAAGACCACAATCAAATTATTGGGTTGTTGTGCGATGTTTGCATTTTGGGTCTAAGGATTGTCCTGTTACACCCTGGGAGAGGTTATATCTGGAAATAGGCGAGAATAATGTGCCTCCCCCGGTGTAGTCCCAATTGGAGCACACTGAAACAAGGCATGGCCAGACCCTGGAGGATGACGGTATGCCAAACAAATGGGTGTAATTGAGCATCCTGGTAAAACTTGCCCGTTCATGGGGCTCCGGGTCGTTTCCTTGTCTCGCCTTAGACATCCAAACAGGGGCCTCGCAACGGGTTGTTTCCTTTTGGTTTCCCTGGTTGAAAAGACAGCGGTCCGACCCAGCCGCCCTTTGGCGCGGTCCCAACGTCGCCCCTTGGACTCTGGCCAGCTGAAGAAGGCCACCGGGTCCATCTGCTTTGCGTAGAACCTTGGGAGCTATGGGTCCAAACTTCGGGGGGTCCTCTAAAGGACTATATGGAAAGCCTTTCGGCTTCCCTTCAGCATGAAAGGAGCGCTCCTCCTAAGTAATTTTGAGAAGCAAAGCCCATCTTTTAATGCTGCTTGACCGAGCCCGGAACTTTTTCTGCGTGACGCGACCCACCGCCTGGTAGAACTCGTGCGGTGAGACCACCCTTGGCGGCATTGGAGCGACATCGAGCAGCAACCAAGGAAATTAAAAAACGAGGTATGAGCCTTGAGTGGACGTGGGAAACTAGTGATTCCATATTTGAGACAAAGAGAGAGAGAGAGAAGAGAGAGGGAGAGAGAGAGAGAGAGACAAGAAACCGACAGAGAGAGAGAGAGAGAGAGACCCCGCATGTTCCTCCCAAATGGACCATAGACTACTGGATATCGAAGCGCAATGACGGGCCCGCGGGAATGTATGAGCTAAACTTTGCTCATGGTCAGCTTCTCAAAACAGGTGTTTGTTATCATCAAGCGGCGAGTGCATCCGCAAGCAACCACAAAAAAAATGTCTATCTTGTGTTCGTGCTATAGTGCCTGGGGCCCTGAATTGCTTCAACTGGAGGAAAGGGCCAAGCAACACCAGACCAACCAGCCCAACAATCAGTCCTTGGCCCTAGGTCCCCGTGCCCCTTGAAGTTCCTGGGGTTGTACATCTTCCGGAAGAGCTGCGAAACCGTCGCCAAGACAGGGTCCGGCCTCGGTGACTCCGATGCAAACAGATCAGCCGGACTGGCACCAAACAGCTTCCTGCTCTTCCCACTTGTTGTTGGGTCGGTTGCAAGATTCTTGCTCTGCATCCAAATAGTGTTCAAGGCGAAGCCTGCGACTCGTTGAACAGCAGTTGCTTGTGCCAACGCAAAAGTTTGAACAGCCGGCAACAAAGACTCAGGTCGGATCTGCAAGAACTAAATGGCATGGTTCAGCTTCAGGTCGCTTGTTCAAACTTATCGTGAAATTCAACCAAATACTCCATGCAAGAGATCCATCTGCAATCAATGCCCAATTCAGCTCAGTTGGTTCTTCGCGCTGGGGCCCAGGCTTTTTCTCCGTAGGCGGCTGATAGCCCAGCAAGTAGTTCCGCAGAGGGATCACCTCGGCTGTCGTCGCGCCCCTGCAACACTGATCTCTGCTGGCATTTCCCTCGCAGGAAAATTTACGCGCCCCATCTCACAAGTGGCACTATCCTTGTTACTTTTGCCTTGGAATGAGATGTGCGGGAAATGACCCTTTGGAGCGGGTAGCAAAAGGTTCAGTCTGGGCTCCTTTGTATGGTGATATTTGCCGTTGGCAAAACTCTGGTTGCAACGACCACAGTGCGTGACCACCTCCGTAATCCCCAAGCAAGCGGCAAAGGTCCGAGGGTTAAACTCTTTTAAAACCTGTGCAAAAGCAGAAGAGAAAGGCCCAAGAGAATACAACAAAGACAACACAACACGCACACACACACACACAAACAAAAAAAACAGGAAAAACAACACATAGCACTAACACGACCAAACAAAACAAACAAAGCAAGACAAGACTACACAAAACAAACAACCAAACCACCAAAGCAATCTTTCCATCGGCATTTGTAATTGGTTGGCGACCCGATCCGGACATACGCGACTTGCTCCCGCGTGTTCAGTACTTCAAACAATTGGATGTTCCACGGACAACTCTCACTGGCTTTTGAAAGCTGCTGTTGTTTCCTCTGTTGAGGCATCCCGATGGCTCAGGCCGGGGCGGTGCACAGCATTTGAATGATGACGTTCTGATAGTCGGAATCCTGGATGTTGTTCAGACCTGCCATCAAACAGGGTTGCGAGCCACAAATCCAAGCCGAGAGAAGGGCACTGCCCCAAGCGGAAGAGAAGAAACTGCTAGGACAAAGCTCAACAGGGTTTGTCCCTATTGCAGGCAAACGAGCAAAACTGACGCTGGGTGGAGCCCGCTCTAAGGGCCCCGCCAATGCAGCCGGGGATGTAGTCCGTACCGTCCAGCGCCTTGGAATACCTCACCCGGGTGGACATGTACTCAATCTCCTGGCAGGACCAGGGCAAATCGCGCGCAGGAATGGATGTGACAACCGCCAACCTTGTGACTGAAAGTTTGAGCATGCTTCAAACCGATAGCTTGCGTAGTGTGACGCAGAAATAAGTTGATGTGTCCTCCTCGTCGAAGCTTGGGCTCAAGTTGTACTTGATGTCCTGGCAGCTGATGCCCTGAAGAACTTGGAGGTTTCTTTCGAGTCCTCTTAAAAAGCCATCTTTAAATGTCAGGTTTGGCTCTGCCTGGAAGCCCGGTGTTGCCGGGGCTCCTCCAAAGACTTATCGACCACCTCGTAGCCGTCAGGTATGCAGTACACCTTCCCATCTGCAGAGTTCATCCAAACGTAGTGGCCCTTCTCGAGCGCGTGCCCTCAGGAGGAAAGGGCTGGAGGTTGTCAACCAGGCTTGCAGCATTCATCTTCAACGGTATCCCTCTGAAAACAACCATCCTGCATCCAATTATGCCTCGTTTGGAGTCTGGTCTTTGAGGGTGAACAAGGGCAAATTTGGCTTCGCCCACGAGTTCCCATCAATCCAAGCAACTGACTAATGGGCTATGAGGTGGCTTCAATCAGCAGGCCCTTCCTTCTTGGGGGGCTATCCAGAACTTTGACTTCACTTTGCCATGTTTGGTGGCCCTTGCATCCAGCTGCAGTTTGCATTTGTGTTTGACAAAGTGCAGTTGCAGAAATGAACATACCGGTTCCAAAAACACAAACCCTGAAGATCCATGTCCCACAAATTGCAAACCTGCACCGGGCAGCGAGAGGAAGGATTCTCTTTCGTCAAACATCTAGGGGCTCTGCAATGATGTGAGCGACTGTCAGTATGCAGTGTTTGCCCAGCTCCAGAAGCTTGCTGAGCAACCCTGATCTTCGAAATTCGGTGAGCGAGCCCAAGTCGCCCCATGATACAGACCGTTGCTTACGCAAAGCAAGACGCACACCGGGAACATTTCAGGGTGGGACGGCATGAATCACATCGTGGAAGTGCCCGGTTCGGGCCGTTGCAGGGTTGCACCCCGAACAAATGGACCAAACTGAATCTTTCTGACACTTGGCAGCCTGGCAAAAACATCACCATTCCCACTTCGTCTCACCTCTTCTCCCCTTGGCGAAACCAAACCCCACCGTGGCTGACCCTGGGACTTGACCGCCGGACCGGACTGGGGCCACCGGCGGTAGGCCGGGGTCTCCTTGCCACGGCCCTGGAAGAACTTCCCGTCCACCAGGTCGCAGTAGACGTTGTCCCCGGACAGCGTCATGGAGCACAGCTTCTCGAAGTCAAAGTCCAGGACGTGCCTAGCACCATAAAACTGGTGCTATGGTGTAAGCGCACCCCTTCAGACGATGGCCCAATGGGACAAGCCAGAAAAGCCACAGGGCTCCAAGTGATTCCCACGTCACGAACACAAAAACGCAGGACCCAAAAGCCGCAACCCTTCGGGATGTTATTCGTTCTGGGATTGCCGTCTTCATCCCAGGGAAACTCCATCACTCACAGAATGCGACAACAATATCATGGGCATCCGCCGATCCCTTCTCCAAAGGGGAGGCGCACGGGAAGGGTGGCAACAAGATCGTCATCATCATGGTCATCACCATCTCTTTTTTCGACTTCAATTGTAGCAAAAAACTAGATGTAAAAGATGCGTGGACATGATTATCATCATGACTGCTGGTGATGCTGAGGATGCGCCCTGATGATTATCATCCGATTTGAAATGCAAAAGATGCGTGGACATGATTATCATGATGATTGCTGGTGATGCTGAGGATGCGTCATGATGATTATCAGCCGAATTGAAACGCAAAAGATGCGTGGACATGATTATCATGCTGGACAGCTGCATGATTATCATGATGACTGCTGGGCAGTTATCATCACAGTCATCATCCTTGTCACCCTAGCCATCAATAGCATCATCCTCATCATTGTAGTCATCACCAACTCTTTCTAAACTATACATTTCTAGTGTGGCGTTAGAGAGCACTGGTGATGCAGAGGATGCGTCGTCATGACTATCATCATGACTACTGGTGATGCTGAGGGTGCGTCATGATGATTAGCGTGCGACTTCAGATTCAAAAGATGAGTTCATGAGGATTGCTGGACAGTTACATGACTATCATGATGACTGATGGACAATTATCATCACAGTTATCATTCTTTGTCACCCTCGTCATCAATATCATCATCATCATCATCATCGTAGTCATCACCATCTCTCTCTATACTACACATTTCAAGTGTGGCGTTAGAAGGCCTTGGTGATGCTGAGGATGCGTCATGATGATTATCATGCGACTTGAGATGCAAAAGATGCGTGGACATGATTACCATGATGATTGATGGTACTGCCGAGGATGCGTCATGATGATTTCTAGCCGAGTTGAAACGCAAAAGATGCGTGGACATGATATTTTGCGGCAGTTTAGCATCTCCAACACCTGGGCCCATTATGCCAATCCTGCCGCCGGCATTTTTCGTGGCAAAAAACAACTATTTTTTGCCGCGAAACTTCGCGGCAGTTTAACGTATCTTTTGCGCGATACTCATCATGACGCATCCTCAGCATCACCAGCCGTCAGCAAGATAATCATGTCTCATCATCATCATCATCGTCATCATCATCATCACCCTTATCATCATCATCATCATCACAACGGTCATCATCATCATGATTCTCATCATCATCTCTTTCTTAGTCTTATACTCATTTCAAGTGTGGCGTTAGAGAGCATTGGTGATGCAGAGGATGCTACGATGATGGCTATCATCACAGCCCTCACCCTTATCACCATTATCGTCTTAATCATCACCACCTCTTATTACGCAGCATTGGACGCAGAGGATGCTACGATGATTGTTATTATCACAGTCATCACCATCATCACCATGCTGATAACCATCATCATCATCCTTCGCATCATCATCACGGTCATCATCATCTCTTTCTCCTTCTTATATACATTTCAAGTGTGGCGTTAGAGAGCATTGGTGACGCAGAGGATGCTACCATCATACTTATCATCACAGCCCTCATCGTTATCATCATTACCATCATTGTCATCATCATCTCTTATTCACTCGTATCATCATCATCATGATGGTCATCATCATCTCTTTCTTATTCTTATATATCATCACAGCCCAGTCCTCATCCATTATCATCTTAGTCATCATCATCTCTTATGACGCAGAGGATGCTACAATGATAGGTATCATCACAGGCATCATCATCATCATCCTTATCATCATCATGATGATAGTCATCATCGTTATCATCACCCTTGTCATCATCATCATAGTTATCATCACAGTCCTCATCCTTCTCATCATTGTCATCATGGTCGTCATCATCTCTTCTTAGGCAGCATTGGACGCAGATGATGCTACGATGATAGTTATCATCGCAGTCATCATCCTGTATCATGATGGTCATCATCATCCCTTTCTAAGAGCACGTTTCAAGTGCGGCGTTAGGCAGGATTGGTGTTGCAGAGGATGCTACAACGATATCGTCACGACCATCATGGTCATCATCATTTCCTATTAGGCTGCATTGGCGATGCAGAGGATGCTACGATGATAGTATCATCGCAGTCAACATCGGCAGCATTGGTAATGCAGAGGGTGCTACGATGATAGTTATCATGACAGCCATCATCTTTATCATCATCACAGTCATCATCCTTATCATCAGCATCATGGTAATCATCACTTATCATCATCTTTGTCATCATCATCGATGTGGCGTTTGGCAGCATTGGTAATGCAAAGGGTGCTACGATGATAGTTGTCATCATGGTCATCACCCTTATCATCTTCGTGATGATTGTCATGCCAGAATGGCGAGCGAGGCACATGTTTACCTGCATTATGGCAATCCTGCCGCCCGCATTTTCGCGGCAAAAGAATAATACGCAGTTTAGCGTCCCCACGATCCCCGGCACTATTGCTGCGAGGCTGCTGCTGGCGAACTAAACCAGAGGGCCCTTGCCATAATTAGATGGGTGATCCGTTTCAAAGCGCAGTCTTCTCCAAAGGGTCGGCGGCACAGGGTCCGGCTACGCCTCCTGGGGTAGCATGTCGCCGCTAGGCAATTTGCCTGCTAGCTTCAGCTATAGGGGCTGCGCGCCGCCGACCCTCGTCACTTGGTCGTGATGCGTCGCCTAAATCCGGCACCTCTGCATCACCAGCTCGGGCTTGCGGTTTTGCTTGCCTGTGCCCTGGCAAAACATCGCGTATACGCAGGGTTTAGGACATGTGGCTGATGGCTTGGTCTGCATCATCAAGACTTCCTTCCAAAAAGCCTCTCAAACCATGAAGCACTGTTTTTTAGAAGGTATCGCAGGGATTTAAGCTCGCCAGGCATGCCGGCGATGCTGGGCCCTACAAAACGCTGTAAATACCGTCGAAAACTGCTTTCTGTCCGTTTTGCTTTTGCTGTGGCTGGCTCGCGTGCTGCGCGGTCCTTCCTTTTTTCCCGTTGGTTTTCGGGCCTTCTGGCGCGCGCGCGCGACCCCAGCCACAAAACGCTGCTATTTACGGTGTTTTGTTGCATTTGCGTTTCCGGGCTGGCTTGCGGGCTGTTCTTTTTGGGCTGCTCTTTCTAGGACCTCTGGCGCGCGCGCGCGCGCGACCCCATGTCAGGGCCCAGAAGCTGGCATCCCCGGCATCATCTGGGGTTGGGGTGGGCAACGTGCATAACCTAACCAGCCATATCATAGCACAGGTTACGTTTCTCATACAAAAGACATGACATGACATGGTATGACTTCAAAGAGGCGTAGCCGGCTGGAGGCCGCAGGCCCAGAAAATAAAGGATTCGAAGATTCAGAGTAGGCAACCAAGCAGCTTGGATTGGTAGCAAGGGTGGCTCTCATGACATGTAAGGGAGCAGGGCACTGCTGAGCGCACACTTTTGGGCCATCGGGGCGCGCCTGTTGATGGTGCCCAGGTATGGGCAGTCCATGCCTCAGCATACTGCACCCGTGAAGAGGCTAAAGCCACCAATCCCCAGCACTTTCAAAATCCCCGTGAAGCCCGGTGTTCCAAAGACCAGCGCGTTGAACAAAAAAGGCTCGACGGGGGAAGAAAGAAAGAGCCGAACTTTGTACACATGGGGCAGCCGGACACACGCGAAGGGTTCAACCAACCAACCAACCAACCAGCCAAACAACCAACCCCGACCAACCCAGCAACCAACCAACTAGCGAACCAGCCAACCACCAGGCCAGTCGAACAACCGGCCAAGAGCAAACTGCCCAGCACCCAAAGAAGACATAGCTACTCTGTCACACAAACATATGTGTATGTACGTATGTATGTATGTATGTACGTATGTACGTATGTACGTATGTACGTATGTACGTATGTACGTATGTACGTATGTACGTATGTACGTATGTACGTATGAACGTATGTACGTATGTACGTTTGTACATTTGTACGTATGTACGTATGTACGTATGTGCGTATGTACGTATGTACGTATGTATGTGCGTATGTATGTATGTATGTACGTACGTACGTACGTATGTATATGTATATGTATATGTATATGCTTATGTATATGTATATGTATATGTTGCAGATCTTGGCATTCTCATGCATGATTTTGTCATTGCAGCCATAGGCATTAGGCTTTGGTAAGTGAGCTATTTTTGCTTGAGGTTGCATGAGTGGACATGTCTTGCAAGTTGACATGTCCACCTTGAGGAAGTTGGAGTGGCGTGCCTATTTTGGCTCAAGCCACATGCGCACGGTGAATGAGTGCGCTGCCTGTGAAAACAACGAGCCGCTTCGCGGGTGTGCCAGAGAGTCGGGACACGGGTGAGACGTGGATTCTGGGTTAGTCCTTGGTTAGGATTAACGCCTCTCACAGTTGGGGGCTGTTCTGGGAAATACTGAACTCCCTGACCCTTGTAAGCACACCGCGGTAAAAGGCTTGTGTGGGCAGCCTCTACTGAAGGATGAGCCAGGAAGTTTCAGGCGAAGAACTTGGTGTCGCTCTCCTTGACTGCATCAGAGATGGAAGGGTACCAAGGCCTGAGGAAATGAGCTTCCCGGCTTGGCAGCGCTGGAGGAAGCGTGAAGGTCGTCGACCGACCCGCCGGCAGGATGGCCGCGGAATGTCTACGGTCGAAGAAGTAGCTCTTTGGAGAGCCGTGACGGCGGAGCTATATGGGGAAGACCGAATTGAGGACCTTGAAGAAGAAGAAGAACAAGATGAAGAAGAAGAGCCGGAAGCCAGACCAAGGCTGAGGCCGATCCCAGCTCTTATGGGGCCAGCAGAGCCTGACGTTGGGACTCGGCCGTCGCCGCGACCAGTGGGGTTTGCGGGCGAGGCCCCGGGTGAGCAAGCCCGGCCGGCTATCAGAGATGAAGGTGGAAGAGGGGAGGAGAAGGGCAGAGCTAGCCCGGCTCCCTCTCGGTGTCTCCATGTCGGAGATGCAAAGGAAGCTGTTCGCACTTCATGATCCGAGGTATGAGAGCCTCGCGGCCTATCGGGCGCGGGCCGAACGGATCTCCCATGCGTTAGAAGTGCTGGGACAAGAAGTGGGACCGGCTGACCTGCGGTCAGTCATCATGAAGGCAGAGTTGATACAAGAAGGATACGAAGCTCTGGGTGACTTTGACCCTAGGACCATGGTTGGTCACTTGAGGGAACAGTTCATCATGCTGGCCAACGATGACACGAAGGAGCCAGAAGAGAAAGGACTCACGACGGTCGCGATCGCGGAGTTGATCCAGGACTTGGGAGGCCGAGTGAGTACGGCTCCTGACAAAGTGTTCTCTACTCCATCCGACGAGCTCCATGATGACCGGAATAGAGGTTCGAAGCGGAGCCGTGAACCCACCGATGGAGACGAAGGCGTTGTAGCGAGCTGGAGTCCCTGAAGAAGGACAAGGACAAGGACAGGGCGGCCTCAGAGGCGTCCTCTCCTGAGAAAGAGCTCGCGAACGCGCTGGAGCATCAAACAGCGGCCTTGATGAAGGCGGTGGAGGGCCGTAATCAATCGCAAGTTACGTCGGTAAAAACAGACTTGCAATGGCCCACGCTTGGGGACGAAAGGAGCGACTCTAAGGACGTGTCCGAGTTCTACGACCATTTCGAGGACAACTGTGGTCTCGCGAACTCCTGCAAGGGCATGAACTATCGGGAGATGCTGCTTGCGCTGAGATCTCGGTGCAGGGGGTCTCGCCTCAAGACGTTCACGAACCTCTATAAGTCGGCCTACCGAGCCGGCGAGATAGAGGAAGGACCCGGAAAAGGTGTACAAGCGGATCAAGGCGAAGCATCTCTTGTTCACGGAGAGCCCGGAGGAAAGGGAGATACGAGTTGACGCAGAGCACGTAGCTTTGGCGAAAGGGAAGATGACAGGGCACCAGTTCGAACCGCTTTTTGAGGCGAGCGTCACGGAGCTGGAGACAGTTGGCCTGGGTAAGAGTAAGAGGGAGCTGTACCTGTCGTATCTTCGCAAGATGCCTGCGCACCTGCAGAAAGAGCCGGAGTGACAAGAGGTTGTGGGCTGGTGAGACCCAGCTGAGAGGACCTCAGACATGGGAGGAGGCTCATCGAGTGGTTCTGGAGGTCGAGCAGCGAGAAGGGCGACTGCGAATGCTGTCTACTCCACGGAGACGGAGAGGCAACAGCAACCTCCGAAGAAGGAGCCAAAGAAACCGAAGGAGCCAAAGGCGCCGAAGCAGCAGGTTTTGGCGGCCACGGAAGGCACGAACGGCAAGAAGCTGTGTTTCCACTACAGGGATCATGGAACCTGTCCGTGGGGAGACAAGTGCCACTACTCCCACGACAAGGAGCTTCGGAAAAGGCGCTGGCGGAGAAGAAGCAGCACGCGGAGAGCGGATCAGTTCTCGCGGCTAAGGGCGAAGGAAAGGGCAAGGGGGACCAGAAAGGGAAAGGTAAGGGAACCGGAAAAGGAAAAGGAGATTCTAAAGGGAAGAGCGGTTCCAAGGGCAAGTATGATGGAAAGAGTAAGAAGGAAGTCCTCTGCCCTTTCTTCCGGAAAAACGGCGCCTGCAAGAAGGGGTCCGGGTGCGATATGCTGCACGCGCTCGTGATCGGCGAAGAGACCGGAAGGACGCAAGGAGTCGCGACTCAGCAGTCTTTGGCAATGGGGCCGAAGCCGGATGCGAGCTCCCTGATCAACCCGTTCGCTGCACTTAGCGTGACGATCGGAGAGTACAGTAACTCAGAAGTGATCTCTGGCGGAGTGTTGAAGACGTCGCCGAGCAACGGTGGCGGAGGTCCAGGGATCGCGGAGCTTGACGATCTGCCGAAGGATTGGTGGGAGGTCGTCCAGAACGAGTCCGGAGGGTACCAGTACCGGACCGTGGTGAAGATCCTGGGGAAGCAGGTGGAATGTATGTTGGATGGAGGTGCCGGTGCCAATCACATCACGGAGGAGCTGGTGGTCAGCATGGTTGAGCACGCGAGGAAGAAAGGAGTCCAGCCCGACAGCAAGGACTACCCGATCCTCAGGTTCGAGAAGTGGGTCTTCCCTGAGTTTGTGCATGGCATTGCATCGGGCAAGCCAGTGCCTTTGAAGGGGAGCGTGGTCCTCCGAGCTAGGCTGCAGGAAGGACCGACACCGGAGGCGTCGAAGGACGGACCAGAGCTGTTCATCCGGTGTAATATCGCAGCGAAAGGCTGCTCAGATTGGCACGGAATCATACTCGGAGGCCGAGCCCTCGATTGCGAAGCGAGAGGCGGCTTGGGCTTCAGGCCGGGACCGGGGTTTCACTTCCTTGATCCCGTGGGAGTGAAGATGCCTCGCTGCGAAGATCACAGCAAGGGGAGGCACGACAGAGCTTACCCGTTCTCGGTGGCCTCTTCCCTTGATGATCATTCGGCTCTTCCGAGGGATGGTGCGCCAACGGACCTCTTGGTCGCGGCCTGCGGTGAGCCAGTGGAGCTCTTCCCTGGTGATGGAGTGCTCATCCCGGTCGATCGGGTCCGAGAAGGGCTCGATGTGGATGACCAGGGAAGATCATGCGAGGCGATCTTGCCCATTAGTGACTCGGTCGAAGCAGTGCCAGGCATTTGGCCTACCGGAAGCCAAGAAGGTATGGTCTTGATAGCCGCGAAGTATGAACCGGTCGTGATTGAGGCCGGTGAGACGGTTGCGGAAGTGCGCAGAGGGCGCATCGCGGCCAGTGAGTGCACGCGCTGCCACATGTGGGATTCGAAGTTTCAGGACAGCTGCCACTTTGAAGATGACAGCTGCAGTTCCTGTGGGACCGGCATTTTGCGGCCGGACTCGTGCAGTCAATGCGGAAGTGAGGAAGTCCGACAAGTGCGTTTGCAAGGATGCGAAGAGTGCATCGCGACGGACTTGAATAAGGAAGGAGCGGCTCGGGAGGATGAGGAAGTACTCCCGGAGCGCGCGTCCGGTATCGGCGCTGCGAGGATTTCGCGGGGAAACGGCCGACCGAGAAGGTGGGGGCTTGGAGCCTTTGCCGCGATGATCTTCTCTGTGGCTTCGTTGATTGGAGTCAACCAGACAATGTCTCGGACGAAAGGGAACCGGGATTTCTGGGAGTACGATGCTACCGAGAGGACGTGGGCTAGGAAGCACCTGGTCCCGAGACGGGCTTTGTACTCGCCGATTGGTGCGTTCGATTGCCCCTTTACCGTTGGAGAAGCCCGAGGTAAGCGGATTACCCGGTTTGAGTGCGAGGGCAGCCCTGAGGGAGTCCTGGAGGATGACTGGAGGACTGCCGAAGATCCGCACAGAGACTTGGGGAAGCCTTGGGTAGGCACGACGTACTTCTTCATGAACAGAGGAGAAGCGGAAGGAAGTGGCGCGATTGACACGCGAAGGACTCCGGTCTACCATATCGTCGAAGTGCCAGGGCATCGAGAGAATGGGGGAGATGACCCCTACGGACTCCTACTATGAGCAGTTGCATGGGCATTTGAGGAAGAAATATCCGAAGGCCGACCCTCATTT